AGAGGCGTTGTTATTTTTCAAGGTTTCAATAAAAAAACAAGTCGACAGATTCAGAAACTTCGGAAAAGGCGGAAACGTCACAGGTTTTAAGTGCCAATACCAATACATTGTGGCACTTATTTGCACAGATGTCAAAATCAAACACGAATTTATTTGCGATGAAGTAATTGCTGGAGAAACGGTTTTCACGGCTCTGATTTTCAAAGAACGCCCATCAAGATGGCTATCTCAACTCAATTCTAATGTTAAGGTGGGACAGTCCCTTTAACGAGGCGATCGATGCGACCATCCGCTTACTTGAGCACCACGCAGAAAATATTGACACCTTCGTACTGGATTTAGGTAGTGTTCGCGACCTTCTCACACATTGTCTGACCAACAACTTTGTTCGCTTCGGACGGAGCTATTTTAGACAGGCCGAAGGAATCGCGATGGGTAGTAGGGTGGCCCCGCCTCTAGCAATTGTTTTCATGCACGCCCTGGAGACCCTTTTCTTGGCATCCCCACGCCTACAGCCCTCCCTATACATATGAGATATGTAGATGATGTGTTTGGAGTGTGGACGCATGGCAAAGAAGCCCTCCTTGAGTACTTCTCATTCCTAAACAGTATCCACCCGTCCATCACGTTTACCCTTGAGCACACTGCTGATACCAGGGTTCTGGCATTTTTAGACTCTAAAATAACGATCGCAGAATCTGGGGCCTACATCAGCGAACTCTACGTCAAACCGACCGCATCACCAGTGATCATACATTTTGAGTCAGCCCTCCCGATGAAAACGAAAAAAAATACTTTGAGATCACAGATGCTAAGGGCCATTAGAGTCTCCTCTCCTGGCCTCCCCAGAGCACGAAGCTTGAAATTGATTGAAACCCTGTTCCTGACGAACGGATACCCGCCCCATTTGGTGACTCGAGTAAAAAGAGAGGTATTAAGGGACAGAGGTACAAAGAAACCTAATGTTTCTCAGTCCGAGCCTGTGTACCTGGCTCTCCCCTTCGTCGACGATGACCTCTGTCGGAAAACGGAGGGCATCCTGAAAACCAGTGGGCTTAACGTACGGGTGGTATGGAAAGGTGGCCCTAACCTACGACACAAGCTGGTACGCTCTGCTTTCCTCCCTACACCCTGCCCTGGAGGAGCATAGGTGTAGCAACGTATCTCTTTGGTGAAGGATACCTTTCACCAAAGTTTTAGATTGGTGAAGGATCCTTCACCAATCTTGAGCAATGCAGGTGAGGGTCTTCACCAATGCTGGAACGACTGGGTTCGACGGTCGACCTAATGTTAAAAAAAGCAATGCCGAATGGGATGAACAAAAAGGCTAAAACGGCAACAGGTACCTACCCAATTACCCCATCCTTTCAGTTATGAAGCGTTATGCCCACCTTTTTTCACAATTCACGCCATTTAATAAATGATAGGTAATATATAATACTGAACGAGGCCGGTGTAAATAAATTTTCAAGACCGAGGTCCATTCCTAACTGAATTTTTGAACGAGGCCGAAGGCCGAGTTCAAAAATCAGTAAGGACTGAGGTCTTGACAAGTTATCACCGGCCGAGTTTGGTATGTATTTTACTGTATGCCAATGATAAAACAATTGTCTAGACCGAAGCTCTTAGCGGTTTTTTGAACGAGGCCATCCCAAAATGTTGACTTGGTAATGCATTTTTGACCGTGGTCACTTTGCTTACACCAGTTATTACCACACCCCTCAGGCTAATGTATTTGAATAGGCCAGGCATACAGTAAAGCCGAAAACTGTATTAAAGTTGGTAAACGTGTAAATGTGTCTCAGTAAATGCCGTGAATATCGAAATAAATTGGCTTGTTTTTGCTCGTGGGAAAGTTGTAAGACTTTGGTCACGAAAAAAATGCAGTGGAGCATACCTTTAGGTTCCAAAGGTATGCTTGGATGGTGGATACCTTTGGTAGGTATCCAAAGGTATGCTTGGATACCTAAAAATTCAATTTTAGGCGTGTACTGAAAAGTTGACGTTAATTAGATGATAATGGCGATTGGCGCGAGACATTTGCGAGAGAAAAAAAACAGGAGTTGGCGAAATTCCCCCCCCCCCTCCACTGCGGTAAGGTCCTGCACCCTCTCCGAAGGTTCAGGTGACATCCTTCACCAATATTTTTGGCGCTCCTACACCCATGTGGAGGAGGGAGGCAGTGCCAATGCTGCGAGGCGGGGCTACGGGAAAAATGTCACACCAAAAACGTCATTTACCGGTTGGACTGCGCATTGTGCGGAAACGACGAGTCATTTTATGTAGGTGAGACTCGCCGCTCAGTCAGACTCAGGCACATTCGTGATGCCAAAAACGTAAAACAATACACCCCTTTTGGCCTCCATCAAACAAAACATCCTGATAGATTAGGGTGCAAGGCCCCGTGTAAAGGCGGACATTTGGTCAAATGGGGATTAGAAGAAAAAAACCATGTCCTTGATATTATCAAGAACTTTGGAAACTGCATACGTTCCATGCGCTTATGAGACATTTGTTGCGCAGTGTGTCCTCCCTGCATATTGCCGCCAATTTCTCGGCATTTCCAGCGGTTCAAACGTTTCTCCTGGGTTTTAGGAATCGCCAGAGCGTCAATTATGGCGTATTTGCTACGAGTAGAGACTCAGCAGCGAGTGGTTATGGCTAGTCTCAACTATGAAATATAAATAAAAACAATGATGATTTAGTGACGTCATCATTTGCCTTATGATTCACCAATGGGATGGCAGAATACGAGTATTATCCTGCTAGCAAAGTATTTCGAGTTTCGACCATTTAAGCAGGCTACCCAATGTGAGGATTCTTGAATATTAGATACGTTAAAACTTAAAAGCATGCTACTTAACACATATTTAACGAGTTTTGTCAGTCCTGCACTGGCTGCTGAGTGCTGGTATGCCAGTCGCAGTGTAGAACCAAGTACGTCATAGAAAGTCCTACCTCCGATATTCCTTTTTGACCTCCTTCAGTAGATATCGTCGACACTCGACAGCAATGCGCCAGCTTAGATGAATGCACCATGCTGTCGGTGTTTCCTAAGTTGCTTTGTTGTAATATTTTATTAAATTTGTAACCCAATTCAGTACTGGGAAGCGCGCAACAAATTCTACAAAGGTATGATGATATTGAGTACTAGGTGTTATCACTCTATGCCTATTGCCTACCCCGTGCTCAATGGATTATTAAATTGACTCGATGGCTTTATTTTCACCAGGATTTTGTTTTGTTGCTTGCTTGTCCAACAAAATTCCTTGCTAAATTATTATTTATAATACAGGGTGTTTCACTAAAAGTGTCAAAAAGTAAAAGATCATAATGCACATAATAACAATGTTTTCTACGGATATTTGCATACCATTTCATCCGCAATTGTTGGACATTTTAATATATAAAAACGATAGCCCCGTCACTCAAACCTATTCCACATATCCGCCCTTTCTTTTGATGCACCGTTTCGGCACGTGTCCGGAGGTGCCTCACAGCCCGTTTTCATCTTCAGCGTCCAGACTGTCGGCAAAGACTTGAATGGTGCTCTTCAGCTCCCGAAGTATTGCGACTTCAGTCTTCCTCAGCTCTGCGAGAGCTACTGACCAAAACCAGAAGTAAAGCGGTGACAGATCGGGGCTTTGCTCTGGCCAGAGGCGGGCGGCGAGGCAGCTGATTTTTCGGCGCAGGAACTTCTAATCCAGCCAGTTCCTGGTGGTTACAGCCATTATAGTGGCTGTTTTTGATAACTTGTAAGGCCTTGGCAATTTCTGATGTTGAAATTAGCTTCTTGTTATCTTCAAAGACCCTCAAAAAGACCCTGACTTTTTCAACGGTTTCCGCCGAGAGGTGGGGGACCCAGTCTTTTTTGGACTGGGACCGGCATCGAAGGAACCCTTTTAAACCTCTCAAGAAGCCCTTTGAACCTTTTATAATCTGGAACGTAGCGAGGTGAGAGAATAAAACGTTTCCTTACAAGTCGGCATACGGTTTCAATGTTTCTGATGGCACCAAAGGTAAGTGTAATTCACCCCTCCTGTTGCGGTGTAAATAACCTGTTCTTGTTCTGCATAAGGAAAAAAACGACTAGTAACTTTGGCCTCCTGCCCTCGCTCCGTATGAGTGAGAAATATATCTTAAATGGACGAAGCATAAATGTCCAAAAATGGGCAACAAAGCCACGTGCGCAACCACGTGATTTGCATATTTTATATAACTTTAATATGCATTTACTTTTTGACACTTTTAGTGAAACACCCTGTATATATGACCTTTTTATTCCAAACCTGACACCCTCACATGTGCCTGCTGCTAGCTAGTTCTTTCCTCAATTTTCATTTTAATGTAGGTCCCACTCCCTTGTTGCTGAATTAAATCACCACAAAAAAAATTGAAAGTTGACTTGTATATTTGATTTTGTATTTCATATTTTTGCTTACATCTGCCTGTTGTTGAAGTAGCCAATCGCCAAGCATTATGTAGCACAGACATTGGACAGATTCACATTTTTACTGTAATTTGCATGTGGGCTTTTGTTGTTTTGGAATTCAGAGTTTAAAGTTGGATTTTGCACACTAAGGTTATCAAATTTGAATTGTAATAACAACAATCTTACTAGCCACTGCATAATACCTTTTGTGGTAGAAGTTGCATGGCAAATGGTGGGTGGGGGTGGGGGGGGCAACCTAGAATCAAGAATGCAGGTTTTGGGTATGCCGGTATTTTGGCGGTTTTTTTGCTTGGGGCATGGTAGCATGCCGGTATCCCAAAACATTTTGGTGCCGGTAGAAGCCTTTTGGGAAAATTTTGCAACTCTACTTTGTAGCCAATGGTTGCCAGAGTACTCTCGTATTGACTCAAAGAGGCGCGTTGCCACTGGCCCATGCGGGTGCCGCGCCGGGCCGGGCGCCGGTGCCGGTCTCTGACCTGTGTGCCGCAGCGCAGTAGCAGAGGCCGGCTGGGCTCGGTCTGCTGCTGCCGGTGCCGCTCTCTATTACCTGTGTGCCGCAGCGCAGTAGCAGAGGCCGGCTGGGCTCGGTCAGCTGCTCGAAGCCGGTCACCTCGGTGCCGAGGCGCAGCCGGCCGCCGAGCCGCTCGAACTGGCGTCCGTACTCGCGGGTGACGGCCGACCAGTCGACGATACCCGTCTGAGGCGACCACAGCGCGGCCACGCCCTGCGGCACCGGCACCGGCACTGTCACGGCCCGCACTCGACCACCACCGGACGGCAGCCGCCCTACCTACTGCACTCACTCAGTTAACAAACAAAACAAATAGCTGCGCTGTTCTTAGAAGAACGCATAAAACTTGGATATTGGGCAGAGGACAGCCTGTGCACCTACTGGGAGACATAAACCTGGACGTGTTTCAGCCAAACAAACCCGGGGTAAGGACGTACTTGGATCTCCTCAGCCATCTATCTGGTTTAGGCCATCAAAACCATTAACTAGTTTTGGCTCCCACTCGCAGTTCCGGTGACTTGCGTCCGTCTCTACTGGATCACCAGAGGGCTGTTCGGGTCCCTGCAGCATAAATCTGTGCTGCGTGCATCATACTTGGGTGACGTCAGCCGCCTGGCTCCGCCCACCCTCCGCCGGCACGCCGCGGCCGAGCGTCGCTGCAGCCTATTCCACGTGCGGCGAACCGTGGCGCGGGGGACTGGTAAATCACCAGTGGTGATTGTCGTTGAAATATCCGTTAAAATGCGTTTAATAGCAATGTGCCACTGAAAAGAGTGATAATGATACAAAAAAAAAAAAACAGCATACAAACCACTCACAAGAAGAAATATTGGACGGTAAACGTTAATCCGCGTCACAGTCGCCTCGTGCAGTTGCTATTTTCGTGCTGCAGGAAAGACAAATATGCTTCAGTAGGTGACGTCACACAGGCGATGACGCAGTGGTGTCGGCGGTATTGAACTTGCAATGAAACAGAGATTAACCCGCGAATGGCTGGGGGGGGGCCTTAAACGCCCCCACTTTTTTCGCCGGGCCATAGACGGCGCCAAATTGCCAAAAAAAAAACGGCGCACCACAGGTGCGCCAAATTTTGGTACCTGTAGGGAATTGATTGAAGTCTATTGTGACAAAATTTCAAAAAATCGGTCGGAAAAATTTTGAGATATCGAGGTTTTAGTGACGTCATGGTTTCACAGTTTTCGACCAAAAACGGCATATGTTCAAAAAATCATATAAAATCACAGAATAGACATACAGACATGCCGTAAACGGCATTAGACTGCAAATACCATGAACAATCAAATGTTTATCTTCGATTATTTATTATCGTTTCGCATTTGCCAAAATCTTGATCTGAATCTTGGCAATTTCTCGTGACTACTTCAAGACCATGATACCTACATTTCTTAAATTGAACTTTTTGCGCCAAACACGTACACATATGATAAAATGAATGTCACCATCGTGTTCTACGCCCCAAATTACCCATAAAACATGTGTCACAGGCTGCGAATATCAGTTTTGATTTTCGGGGATATGTGCCAACCCGGTTGACCTGACCTTGACCCTGGCCTATGCTTGACTGACCCCTACATGGGGCTGACACTCTTGTAGGCCTTATATGATGGATTCTGCACCGTTTTGACAGAGTTTATGACGAGAGGCGCTCATTGCGAAGTCCTGAAGTCCATGCTGCTGAAAGCCCGATTTCAGGTGTTTGACCTGACCTTGACCCGACCTGTGACCTCAAAATTCAACTTTAAAGTACTCATCTGAAGCGTCTCGTCGCGTTCTTTCGTTTGCCGCCTCGTGCGTTTCGCTGCGCCTATTGGTTCTCGAGTTATCGGCTGGGGGCGTTTAACGCCCCCCCCCCCAGCAAACGGTGGGTGGCGAAATACCCCAGCAACTGCCGGGTTCATATGTATTTTTGAAATTTCGAAAAATACGCTATTTTTGATATATGACACATCGAGTTTTCTCTCATTTGTATTTTTTGGACTTACGGACCAAATTTTTTTGAATTGTTATTTCTTTAAAAAAATATTTGGCTCATTGTTAACCCGCGCCCCGCAGGGGGGGGGGGGGCAGAATATGCCCCTCCCGTTTTTCGCCAATAACTTCTAAACGCGTTACACCAGCGACGTTAAACTTTCAGTACCTTATAATACATCAATTTGACACGTTCCCTGAAAATTTGAGCAAAATCCGTCGGAAAAATTTTTGAGAAAATGACGTACTGGTGACGTCATGTTCGCCATTTTCGCCTAAAAAACGGCAAAATTTCAAACGCCGCTAACATCTTCGTTTTTAAAGGAATCAAGACGTAACAAAAAAGGGTATAAGTGATTTTACTTTGTCTATCACAAATGTCTATCTAAGTTTTTTGAAAATTTTGGATTTTGGCCTATTTTTTTCAAAAAAAAACTGATTTTTTAGGGAAAATAATTATAAAATCCAAAATTTTGAGTGTATAAAAAACGGAATATATGTCAGACAAATGGTCTATGTGCACCTACATACCAATTTTTAGAAAATATCGGTTAAAAAATGGAGTTATTCAAAATTTTATGACGTCACGACACACAATTTTTGAAAAAATGAATTATTTGGAAGTTATAGACCTCGTACGGAAACAAAAATAGCATTATTCGATTTCCCGTGGCAAACTGCATCAGATAGACACCTTTTTAGGCCTTAACCCGCGCCCCACTGGGGGGGGGGGGCTATTCATAGCCCCCTCTCCCGTTTTTCTGCAATAACTTCCAAACCGCTTGACGTATCGACGCCAAACTTTCAGTACCTCCGGCTGCATCAATTTGACACCTTGTGTCAAAATTTGCGTAGCTACCATAGGTCGTCCGGAAATGACGTCAGAGTGACGTCATGTTCGGCCGATTTCGACGCAAAACATTGAACCACGGCAATCGCTCCCAAGGGCCCAGTTTTTAAGCTAGATCCAATTTATTTGCATGAGAGGACTCAGAATAGACTGCCCTATCAAACTGTTATCTCGGATTTTCGAAATTTTGAAAATTTCGAAAATTTTATATAATAAAATTCAAAATTTATATTTTTTCATTTTTTTCCAAAAAGTTTTTGACTTTTAGAAAAAACCGGACTATATGTGATAGAACGCGTTATTATGACTAACTCTAGCAAGTTTTAGCTAAATATCTTCAAAAATGGCCAAGTTATACGCATTATTGCAAAAAATTCACAATTATTCATTTTACAAATCAATTTTTCACCACGTATTTGACATCGTACGCCAATATAAATAGCACCATCGTGTTCCTGAGCTCAAACTGCATCCACTAGACACGTTTTCTGTTGACAATGATCACTTCAAAATTTGACCTTTTTTGACCTGAAAGTGACCTGACCTAATCTAAATTCGACTCAAAATTACCTCGAATGACACAGACGACATCAAATTCGAAATCTTTGGCCTAAATGGACCATAAAACATGTGTCGACGCATGATATAATATTTTCGTGACCTGTGATGACCTGACCTTGACCTGAAAATCAAAGCACAAGTTTGGTACCCTCAGGGTATCTAGAGCATCTGTTCACGAGTGTGTGAACCAAAAATGAGCCTGATCTGACTTGTAAGACCGCGGCCAGAGCCCAAAACGTGAACAAGCCAAAATGCTAATAATTTTTACTTTGACTTAACCTGTGACGTCATCGGTGACCTCGAGGTCAATGAAATTAGGTTTCGTTCGTCAGTTTTTTCGGGGCTATGAGACGCCGTTTGAGTTTTGACGATCGGCCCAGTAGTTTCGGAGTTAGAAGGGGGGCTATGAATAGCCCCCCCCCCCTCCCCCAGTAGGGCGTGTTACACGCAGACCCCAGTGGGGCGCGGGTTATCAACCAACTTCAAAATTTGACCCCACTTGACCTGACCTTGACCTGACCTCGACCTGAAATTAATCCAGAGGTGGTCCATATCACTTATTGAGTATGCCTATTGAATTCTATGAATAAAATGACCCATAAAACATGTGTCGCACATGCCCTTTTCTATATTTTGTTTTTGGTGACATGACCTGACCTGAGCTGACCTTGACCTTGACCTTCGAATGACATTGTTTGCAACAAATATTGTCTTGGTAGTCTAAGGACACGTTTTGGGCAATCAGTAGCAGTCCATTCTTCGGCAACTACGGTGCAAGGCCGATACTGTTGAAACTTGCATTTTGTACCCTTGCCCTGACCTTGACCTGACCTCTGACCTACTTAACCCGCGCCCGGCTGGGGGTCCTGGATTTCCACGCCCTGCTGGGGGGAGGGGTGTTTGAACACCCCCCCCCCCTTGTAACTCGGCTCCTGGGCCACGTAGCGATACGCGGAAGGCGGCGTTCGAAAGAGCGTAAAAAATAATGACGAAATCACTTCGGTCAATTTTTTGGTCAGGTCAAAGGTCAGGTCACCAGAGGTCATTGAAGGCAAAATTTCGCCGATTTCCAGGTCGAATGTCGATAATTTCCAAGAAGCTACCGCATAACTCGGGAACCAATAGAGCTACAGCGCCGCGGAAAAATGCATTCGATAGCCCTATTAACGCCCTCTCTGAGTAATTCTCTCAGATTTGACCTAACGTCAACGGTTTTGCCTGCAGGGGGCAAAAACTGCAAAATTAGCCGATTTTTTCGGAAACAGTTTTTCTGCAATAACTTTTGACCCAAGCCTTGTACGAGCTTACTTTTACCGGCATCGTGTTCCTCTCGTCAAGACGCATCGAATGAACTATAACTTGACCTTGAAAGGTCAACTTGAAAATTTGACCTCAGGTCAAGGCCATGACCTGACCGGAATGGGTCATGTTGCATATCAGTCGATCCGTATCGTCGAGCTGAACACATCTAAGGCGTTTTCATCGCTCTAGCATGCCTCTATCAAAAGTTATTTGCGAAAAACTGTTAGATACCATTCGTGACCTAAGATGACCTCAGGGCACAAACAAGGGTCACGGACACCATTTTCATGTTCAGTGTGTCTAAACCACTTGTAATTCGGTGTTTGGGAGTGTTTATAATGTCTTTCGTCCAAAAGAGGCGCATTTCAATTTTCTCCCATTGACTTATAATGGGGAGGTCGCAAAATTGACCTGACCTTAGGTCATCGATATCAAAATTCTGAGATATATATTTTGTACATGCTATTGCTCTTAGCAATCGCTGAAAGTTTCAAAGCGATCGGTCACTCGG